AGGGAAAGAACAGCTACCTGGACAAAGCCCCTGCCCTCGTGAGGCTTACGTTCTAATGTGGCAACAGACGAACTAGTCACCAAAGAAACCTGTAATACAACATTGAGAGGTGACACCTGCCAGGAAATAAAAGAGAGTCAGGAGGGACTTCCCCGGTGGTCGAGTGGTTGAGAATCTGCCTTCCAACACAAGGGATGCGGGTTTGATCCCTGGTCAGGGAACTAAGATCCCACATGCCACGGGGCAACTAAGCCCACGTGCCGCAACTACTGAGCCTGCACGCCACAACTAGAGAGAGAGAAGCCTGTGCACTGCAATGAAGAGCCCACGTGCCACAACTAAGACCCGACGCAGCCCAAAATAATAAATAAATAAATAAAAGAGAGTCAGAAAACTGAACTTGGTAGGGCAGGGGAGCCAGAGGAAGTTTCCCTGAGGAGGTGACACCTGAGCAGAGACCTGACGAAGGGAGGGAGGGAGCCGTGGGGACATCCCAGGCAGACAGAAGAGCAAATGCAAAGGCCCTGGGGCAGCTGTGGTTGGTACATTTGAGGAACACCCAGGAGGTAAAATAGGTGTAGGGGTGAGGGTGGAGGAGATGAGGCTGGGAAGCCAGCGGTGGGTTTGGGGACAAGGAGTGATGCAATCAGATCAGCCATGTACTTTTATAGGACCCCCCTTCTGGCTGCTGCAAGGTGAGGGGAAGCAGGGGCACCAGTTAGGAGGCTACTGCAGGCATCCTGGTGGAGGCAGGACTACCAGGATGCACAGTGTGTGAAAGGAGAGGAAAATATCAAGGCTGATCTCAAGATTATGGCCATTAGCGCCATAAATGGAGTTGCCACTAACAGAGAGAGAACAGACTGCAGGAGGACCAGGTGGGGCGGAAATCAGGACCTTGATTTTGGACCTGAGATTAGTCTAACACACCTAATGAGCTCTGCAGAGAAGAAAGCCAGACATACAAGTCTGGAATTCAGAGGAGCAGCACGGGTAGAGATAAAGTCAGGGAGAAGAGAGCATGGAGAGCCTCGGCACTGAGCAGGGGGCCTTGGGAATTTGGAACAAGGAAGTGGATCCAGCAGAGACTGGACAGAGCAGCCAGGGAAGTGGGGAAGAGCCAGCGGGGGGGCCCGGGCCTGGAAGTCAGAAGACGAAAGAGCTTCGGGGAGGAGGGAGTGGCCGCTGTGTCCACACTACCCAGGGGCCAAGAAAGCTCTGGACTGAGCACTGAGCCGGGAGCTGGCAATGCAGAGGTCACTGCTGACCCGGCCGAAGACAGCGTCAGAGGGTGTCAGGGGCTGAAGCCCAGCTTAAGAAAAAGTCGGGGAGAGAAACTGGAGACAGCGAGTCTAGATGGCCCTTTTGAGGAGTTTTGTTATAAAGAAAAGCGGAGAACATGGGCAGTAACTAGAAGCAAAGGCAGGATATAAAGGGAGCGAAGCTTCCTCAGGATGGGAAATCACAGACTGCAGCTTTACCCCTGACCAGATGTGAGACTTTGCTAAGTTTTTCAGTCTCTTAATGCCTCAGCCTTCTCATCTGCCAGTGGGGACAGTAACAGCATCCACCTAATCAGATTATTGTGAGGAGTTAAAGGAGTGAATGGGAGCGAAGCAGAGGAAAGCTCTTGGCACAGGGCCCGGCACATAATAAGCACTCACTGAAATCAATTGTCACTAATATTCCCTGGCATTCGTATACGGACGGGGCAGAGTGATGGTGGAGGAAGGACAGGAGAGAATTACAGGGAAAAAACCCTCTGGGAGGGACTTCCCTGGTGGCGCAGTGGTTAAGAATCCGCCTGTCAATGCAGGGGACACAGTTTTGAGCCCTGGTCCAGGAACATCGCGCATGCCGCAGAGCAACTAAGCCATGCACCACAACTACTGAGCCTGCGTGCCGCAACTATTGAAGCCCACGCGCCTAGAGCCCGCGCTCTGCAACAAGAGAAGCCACCGCAGTGAGAAGTCCGCGCACCGCAACGAAGAGTAGCCCCCGCTCGCCGCAACTAGAGAAAGCGCATGTGCAGCAACGAAGACCCAACGTGGCCAAAAATAAATTAATTAATTAATAAAAAAAAAAACCCTCTGGGAGCCAAGAAGGGATGGTGCCCAAGCACACAAATGCAGGGACAGGACGGGGGCTCGGAAAGGGGGGAGAGAGGCGTGCATACACACACGCGTGCGTGCACGCACACACACACACACACACACACACACACAGGGCAGGCAGGGGGCAGCCGCCTCTACTTTCCTAGAGACAGGAAGCAAAGCAGTGAGCTGGCAGTCAGGGAAGCCCTTGGGATGGGGCCTGTGTCCCCACCACCGCAGGGTCTCAGCAGCCCCACGGAGCACCTGCCTTGGGGCAGCAACTCAACTTCTCTGTACACCAGTTTCCTCCTTTGTGAAAGTAAGGGTCCGATAGCACAAACCTCCTAGGGCCGCCCACTCACTCACTCAGCCAGCGTTGGCTGAGGGCCTACTACATGCCAGGCATCGTTCTAGGCTCAGACTCTGGAAGCACAGCAACAAAAAAGATGGCCAGGCCCCTGCTCCAACAGAGCTTATAGTCCACCGGAGAAGTCAGACAAGAAACAAGCAAACAAGATGACTTCTGAGAATGAATGAATGATACGAGGAACATACAAACGGCTGATGCAATAGGCAAGGATGCAGGTGTGGTGGCCCTACAACGTTGTGCTCGTGGAAGGCCTACCATTTGAGCTGAACACTCAGTAACGAAAAGGAACCAGCAGGTGTGAACCTGGGGAAGTGTGTTCAAAGCAAAGGGCACAGCACGTGCAAAGGCCCCGAGGTGGCCGTGAGCATAGCAGGTTCAAGGACCAGCAAGGAGGCCGGCGTGAGGAGTCAGAAGGTAGATGGTTACAGGCCATGTCACGGGGCCAAGCAGAAGCCGGATCACACCTCAAAACTCTAGATAAGAATTTCAGATTTTACTCTACGTGCTAAGTACTCTGAGTGACGTGATCTGATTCCCGTGTTTAAACATTAGTTCTGGCTGCTGTGCCAAAAATGGATGATAATGGGGGTGAAAGAGGCCAGAGGGAGACCAGCCAGGAAGCCACTGAGGTTGCTGGGGGAGAGGGGGGATGGGCAGTAAAACATAAAAAGATGACATGCATACAGAGTTTCACAGGGGCCTGGCACACAATAAACGCCAAAAAAATATGGCAGCTCTGATTCGTTCATTCATTCAACAAACACTCGGTGAGCACCATCTCTGTGCCTGTCACTGTGCCAAGGGCCGAGACAGGAGACGCGGTACTGAAGGTGCTCACCGAGGGGGGTGGAACAGTCGGAAAAAGAGCAGCAGCACCCGCTGGGGGCGCAGGCAGGTGCATAAGAAAGCTGGGGCCTCCACCCGCGCCCCCGGGCACGGGGGCTAGCCACACCTGCAATCCAGTCATAGCCCAGGCACGGTCTGAGGCGCCAGCTCTTCTCAGGCACTGGAGACTCCTTGTTGGTCACTCTCGGCTGAGGAGGGAGGCAAAGAGGGGCAAGGGCTAGGCCAGCAGGCCTGGCCCAAAGGGGGTCCCACCTTGCAGGGAGGAAAGGGGCTGTGTCTTAACTCATACCCTGACATGGGACCCAGGGCTCAGCCGAGGGCTTGGGGACTGGAGGACAAGAGTTTGGCCCCCGCCCCACTCCATGTGTGACTGTGAACAAGTCTGTCCTCTGAACGCCCGTCTCCCATCTGCATAATGGGGCTGGTCACCTTCTTCCCAAAGTGCTGTCTGAGAAACTAATGGCCACAGCTTATCAAGCGCTTAGGCTGAGCGGACTGACTCACGGTACCTCCCAGGAGCCTCACCCTGGAAGGGAGGCTGCCCATGAGTGCATCTATCAGGGGGGAAACTGAGGCTCAAGGAAGTGCCCATCAGTGGATGCTCCGCTCGCCCGCGTTACCTCGGACAGCTTGCTCCGCTGAGCCAGGAGGGACTTCAGGGCCTCTTCCTTCTGGGTGTCTAGACTGTCCAGCTCTGCTGAAAGCTCTGGGTCGCTCGAGTCTGAGGTGGCCAGCAAGGGAGCCAAGTGGGGCCTCAGTGGGCCCGGGGACTCCTGGTGGAGGCACTTGGCAGGTGGGAGAGAGATCACCCCGGAGCTGGCCCCGTCCCTATCACAGGGGTCACCTTGGTGGGCATCCTGTGGGCAGGAGGCTCTCGAGGCCACTGAGGACGTCTCTTGGGATGACGGCATCTCTGAGTTGTAGCTGCTGCTGGAGTCCAGGCTGGACTGGAACAGAGAGGCCAGTTCACCCAGCCATCTACCCAGCTGGCATGCACTGGGCATGAAGGCCTGATCCTCACCCTTGCTCCAGCCTCTGCATGTCCCAGGCCAGTCCCTTCCCACGCTGGGCCTCACTCAGTTTTCTCATCATCAGTAAGATGGGCATGCTGCACGAGAGGACCCGGAAGCCCTGGATTCTGGCCTGAGGGTTAGGCAGCCCCTCCCTCACTCCCGGGACTTGGCCAAGGCGCTCACCTCTGAGGCTGCCTTGGCCACGGACCGCCGCACGGCATCCTGTCCGACCCACAGCTGCCTCAGGAGCTCCAGGTTGAGCTGCCGTAGCTGTGCCAGATCTCTGGTCTCCACCATCCCAGGCGTATCCGCTGGCTTCCCACGACAGGTGTCACCGACTCCCGGGCCACAGAGTGCCCTCACGGCCAAGTTCTCCTACCTGAAGCCAAGACAGACAGCACGACATAGCGCTGAGGAGGCTGCCCTGCAGAGCCAGAGGCCGGGGTTCAAATCCCCACTTTGATACTCCCTAACTGTGCAGCCTCAGACAAGTTATTTAACCTCTCCGTGCCTCAGTTTTCTCATCTGCCAAACAGATGTTAACAGCATTGACCTCATAAGACTGTTGTAAGGATTAAAGGAGATAATGTATATTAAATGTTAGTACAGTGCCTGGCACACACAGTAAGCACTCAATAAATGCCTATTATTATTGCACTGGCCACAGTGTGTTTCCTAACATGTCAAAAGAGATCAATCCCTCTTTAACGGGCTTCCCTGGTGGCGCAGTGGTTGGGAGTCTGCCTGCTAATGCAGGGGACACGGGTTCGAGCCTTGGTCTGGGAGGATCCCACATGCCGCGGAGCAGCTAGGCCCGTGAGCCACTACTACTGAGCCTGCGCGTCTGGAGCCTGGGATCCGCCAACGAGAGAGGCCGCGATAGTGAGAGGCCCGCGTACCGCGATGAAGAGTGGCCCCCGCTTGCCACAACTAGAGAAAGCCCTCGCACAGAAACGAAGACCCCACACAGCAAAAATAAATGAATAAATTAATAAACTCCTACCCCCAACATCTTAAAAAGAAAAATCCCTCTTTAACAACCTTAACTATGAAATTACTAGATTAATATGTAGAAGGCAACTAGGGCAAGTCCACAGATGTAAAGCATAACTTCCAAATTCAACACAAATCAGATTTGTGAAGGGACTCCTCCCTCTCTCCTGCCCTCCCTCCTTCTTCCCTTTTACAAATGAAGAAACCAAAGTTCAGAGAAGTTAAGCTACTAGTCCCAAGTCACAGAGCTTGTAGGTGGCAAAGCCAGGATTTGAACCCAAACCTGGCTCCGGGGTACATGGTTATGCCAGCCTTTCCCCAAACAGTGTGGAGGGGGGCCTGGGAAGCTGCCTCCTCCTTCTCCCAGCCTTTGGCCCCCCCAGGGATCCAAGCTCAGGGACACACTGATGCCGCTGGAACGGATTTCTGCAGACTAGGGGAAGAGGCTTCCTCTTCCCTCAGAGTCCCAAGCCCAGATGCCTCCAACTATAAACTGAGTCTCCCCCAGTACACACGATCCCTTTCTAACACTGCGTCCAGACAGACACCCTACTCTCAGAACCCCAGACCTCCCACCAACACTCCTCACGTGTGGACCGCCCACACCCGGGGCCCCTCCTCAGGGCCCGGTTGCAGGGGCTAAAGCAGAGAGAAGCCAGGCTACCCTGGAGCCGTCCCCACATACACCCATGCAAGGGAAGGGGGGCAGCGGAGATGCGAGTACAGACGACTGTGCGGGGGGTGGGGCAGACAAGCGGGGTAAAAAGCCTCATCCACAGGACAGGGACTGCCGGTCCCCGTCCTTATCTGACTCTGGGCCAGACCTATAGTTCGAGGATCTCCGTTTTCGCAAGGTGTTAAAGAGAACACCTCTGGCTCCCGCGGCGCTCTGGAAAGCTAAAGCCGCACCAAGGTAACGCGAAGGCGACGTTCAAAAGAGAAACTGGGGCAGCAAAAGTACCAGCTGCGGTGCCGCGGAACAAAAGGGCGGGACCCCCGGGAAAGGGAGACTCAGCCTCCCTCTTCTTTCCCTTCGCGGGCCCCGGACCCTCCGCGGGGGCGTACGTGAGGCAACCCTTCGAGCCCTTCCTCTCCACATCCGGCCCTGCCACTGCCTCACTCACCTCCAGGAAGTCCCGGAGCCGCGCAACGCACCGCCGCCTGAGCTGCCGGGAGTTCCGCACAGGACACCCTACGCTTCGGCGGCCGGGGGCGGGGCCTGATCCGGGAGCCCTGATTGGTCAGCTGTGGGGCGGAGCCGGGACGCTCTTGCGAGCTTTACTTCGCCTTCAGAAGCTGCCTTTTCAACACTGAGGCGGGGATAACGACGGCGCTCAACATCTGATTGGTCAACTTCCCAGGTCTAGGAGTAGCTAGTCGGAATGGGGCGGGCCCCCAGAAGGCGGGCTCCGATTGGTCAGGACAAGGCCGCGGGCTATTTCACATTTGGTGACGGCAGTGTCAGAGTCTGCCAAAGACGCAGAGGCAAGTCAGTGGAGAAAGGACAGCCTTTTCAGCAAATGGTACAAGAACAATTGGATGTTCATATGCTAAAGACACACACACCACAAAACAAAACAAAATTTTTAAAACCCTCTATCTGTACCATATCTGTACCATATGTAAAAATTAATTCAAAATGTATCATACACCTAACTGTAAAACCTAAAACTATAAAACTTGTAGAAGAAAACCGAGAATAAAATCTTTGTGACCTTGCATTAAGCAGAAATTTCTTAGATACGACACCAAAAGTACAATCTCTAAAAGAAGAATGGATAAATTGGACTTTGTCAGAATTAATAACTTCTGCTCTTTGAAAGACATTGTTAAGAGAGTGGAAATACAAGCCACAAGATTGGAGAAAATAATTGCAGATCACATGTCTAATAAAGAATTTGTATCCAGATTATATAAATAACTCTCCCAACTCATAAGAAAACAACCCAATTTTTTATTGAAGTATAGCTTATTTATAATATTGTGTTATTTTCAGGTGTATAGCAAAGTGATTTAGTTAAATATACATTTTTTTCATATTATTTTCCATTATAGGTTATTACAAGATATTGACTATAGTTCCCTATACAGTAAATCCTTGTTGTTTATCTATTTTATATATAGTAGTGTATATCGGTTAATCCCATACTCCTAATTTATCCCTCCCCCTGAACCATAAGTTTGTTTTCTTTTTCTTTTTTTTTTTTGCGGTACACGGGCCTCTCACTGTTGTGGCCTCTCCCGTTGCGGAGCACAGGCTCCAGACGCGCAGGCTCAGCGGCCATGGCTCACGGGTCCAGCCGCTCTGTGGCATGTGGGATCTTCCCGGACCGGGGCACGAACCCGTGTCCCCTGCATTGGCAGGTGGACTCTCAACCACTGCGCCACCAGGGAAGCCCCATAAGTTTGTTTTCTATGTCTCTGAGTCTGTTTCTATTTTGTAAATAAGTCCATTTGTATTATTTTTTAGATTCCACATATAATGTTTGTCTTTCTCTGTCTGCCTTACTTCACTTAGTATGATATTCTCTAGATCCATCCATGTTGCTGCAAATGGCAATATTTCATTCTTTTCATGGCTGAGTAATATTCCATTGTGTATATATATATATATATATATATATATCAATCACATATTCTTTATCCATTCATCTGGTTTTTTGTTTGTTTGTTTTAAGGTTAAAAAACAAAACTTTTATTTAGAAAGGCTGAAATGATTGTATGCTAATTTGAACAGCTAGGTTGTATAAGAAAGTTCCTTTTTTTTTTTTTTTTTGGCTGCGCCTCACGGCTTGTGGGATCCTAGTTCCCTGACCAGGGATTGAACCCAGGCCTCAGCTGTGAAAGCACAGAGTCCTAACCACTGGACCACCAGGGAATTCCCAAAAATATTCCATTTTTGATGTCTTCCAAGAATTGGATCCATTATGTGTGCTTTGTTCTTTCTTCAGACCTCTTAACTTCAGACTGGAGTTGAGCAGAAATATGGCTTTACTCCTTTCCCCTCAAATCATTCTCAGGCTCCAGACAAGGAGCTGGACCTTTGGGTGAACAAGCAGGTAAGTGGCAATGGTACCTTTTAACTCGGGAGGCTTTCCAGAAGTAATACAGGAACAAGGAACAAGCTGCTCCAGAATGAGAACATCATGTAATTAGCAAAGTATCTAAAATAGCCAAAACTATTCTCGCTATGAATAGCCAAGAAAAGCTAAGCAAATGCTATCCACAGACATTTGCTGTATCTTAGACAGTTCCTTATGGAACAAGTTCTCATCCTCTCTCCCAGTTATAGCTCCAGTGGGTTCACCATTACAGGCTCTGGGGCTAGAACAGGGGTAAGACAGGATGCTTGCTTTCCTCATTGGCATCCATTCATCTGTTGATGGATACTTAGGTTGCTTCCATGTCTTGGCTAACAAACAATCCAATTTTTAAAATGATTAAAAGAATTGAACACCAAAGAAGAGATACATACAGATGGTGAATAAGCACAAAAAAGATGCTCCACATCGCAGAACTCTCCTACTGAGGCTGGTCAGAGACTCAGCTCAGCATCCTTACCCACCATTAATACACCTAGCACCAGCTTTTATCCCAATCTGGCTTTCAAGAGTCTTCTCTTGCTCTAGGCTCCATTTGCTAGGCAAATGTAAAATAAAACCAGAATGAGACACCACCGCGTAACTATTTCTATGTCTAAAATGATGGCATGTAAAATCAAAGACTCACTCTACCAGTGTTGGCAAGGACAGGGAAAAACTGGAACCCCTGTGCTCTGCTGGTGGGAATGTAAAATGGTACAATCGCTTCAGAAAACAGTTTGACGGTATCTTAAAAAGTTAAATATAAATTTACCATATGACCCAGAAATTCCAGTGCTAGGTATCTACCCAAGAGAAATGAAAACATGTCCACGCAAAGACTTGTACAAGAATGTTCCTGGCAGCATTATTCATTATAGCCACAAAAATGGGGAAATAATCCAAATGTCCATCAACTCATAAATGGACAAACTAAATGTGGTGTCCATACAATAGAAAACGGCAATAAAAAGAAATGAAGTGCTGACACGTGCTACAGCATGGACGAACCTCATCAACATTATGTTAAGTGAAAGAAGCCATACAAAAAAGACCACATATTGATGACTCCAATTATATGAAATGTCCAGAAAAGGCAGATCTATGGAGACAGAAAATAAGATGAGTGGTTCCATGTGTCTGGGTGGGAACAGAGATTTACTGCAAATGGGCAGGAGGCATCATTGTGAGGTAATGAAAATATCAAAATTGGATTGTGGTGAT